GATTAATAATTATTATTGTATTTAAAATATATATAGCATAAATATTTCAAATACTAGCTTAAATTGGTAAAAGCAAACGACGAGCTTCTTGTGTTACTAAGAATATCTCTGCTACACACAGTTTTCATATATTTATCTTATTAAAATGGGGTAGTAGTTCTAAAATATCACTATAAACATTGTTAATGCGCACAAAGTAGTAAAGTAGTAGTAGAACACGTCATTATTAGACTTTAGCTAATTTTACAGAAATAGACGATAGCTTAAATTTACGATTTAATTCCTAGATAAGGTGAACTGTAAAATTTCATATCCAATTAATGCTTTTCTTTGTGAATAAGGGTTACGCTACCAATATCAACTAAAAATCGCTGGTTACACACGTAAAAACGCGTCACGTGAGTAACCTGAGATTTTTAGTTAACCTATCAACATCTTATGAAAGGTAAGGAAGGTAATGTTCTTTAATTAGATTTATGATATTATTTATCTATATTTTGTTTTTCTTTAGACTTTATTTTACTTGTATGTTTATTTAGTTTGTGTTTGTTGTAAGAGAGTTACCTATTCTGGACGTAATTTTCAAGTGATTTTACTTACTTATGTTTCAAGGTATACTCGTATATTGATCAAGCATCTAGTAAATAATTGTAATAGTTTCTTCAATTAACTACTTTACTCTTTTGATCTTAATTTTCTTTGAGATAGAAGTATAATAAAATTTTGACAAGTTTGTAAAGTACCTACATTATTTTTGCACGCCGATGTTGAAGGCAAAATAAGACCTAGTTATTAGAAAATGACAACTATCTGTACCTTATTTAGGCAAATAAATACTTTTTGAATTGAATTTAAGATATTATTATTGTACATAAAGTTCAATTTGTATTATAAAACAATTTTTTGACCAGTCACACAACAAGTCATTATGAATACGAAGTTTGAAAAATGTAATTCATAGTCATAATACAGGGTGTAAACGGAACGTTTTGAAAAGGTCTGAAAAGGACAATAAGTCATAATAATAATCAATGTTTGTTTTCATGTTATTCATGCAACATTACTTTTGAGCAGTTTATAAACCACTATTAATACTTAAAATCGCGGGTTACTCACGTGAATATACTGAGAAAAGCTCTACTGTAAAATGTACAGTCAGTAGTATAGTAGTATGTAGGCTGCGCGACATCGCCGCGACCGCGAACGCTGCTCAGGAAGAACCTCACTGTGGTTCGAAACTAGTACAGCTTTTCTCAGTATATTCACGTGAGTAACCCGCGATTTTTAGTTATGTAATTTAGTATGTCTCACGATAGTTATTTTAAAAGCTATAATTACATAAAATAAACATTTGATTCCATACTCTTATGAACGTAAAACTTGTATTTTACCATCACCTTTCAGCTTTTTCATGAGCGTTCCGTTTACACTCTCTATTTAACTACTTTAAATCCTGCATAAGAAAGAGGTTTTTGTTTACTTATAGGCGTTCTCGAGTCATCATATAATGACAACTTACTTGTAATTAATATTATAATTGCGCGTCTCTGTTATTAAAGCTTGTTATTGGTATAAGTACGTTCTAAACTAAGTTATTAGTGCAAGGCTGTTGTACATAGTTGAGGCAGAACCCTCGGTTGCCGACATCCACTGGAGCTTCCACGTTGTCCGTATGAAACCATAGCCGAAAAGGTTTTACAGTACCTGTGAATAAAAATATATCTTACTACTAATATAATAAATGCGAAAGTGTTTCGAGTTATAGTTTGTGAGTTTATCTGTATCTTTGTAACACAATTTTTTTTTGTTGTTCTTCTATGGCAATGTGTTATTCAACAATAAGCCATACTTTTGTCTGATACACTGTATCTGGATTTCTAGGTATTTGAAGAGTCCAGCTATATCTGGTTACTCTGAGCAGGCAAATATTGTAACACAATCACTGGAAAACGGTAGAAGAGATTGGGATGAAATTTGGAAAAGTGGTAGATTATTGTGTAGAATAACGTATAGGCTACTTAGAAACGCAGTCGAAATCACTGGTAGAACATAGTCGATAAAAAGGTGGTACAAATGCATAACTGCCTCATTGGCCGAGTGGTTCCAAGTGCGACTCCCGGGTTCATAGTATTACTGGGTTTATTAAAAATCTCAGTAGTAGCACGGAGCCTGGAAATGGGCCCGGTATATGGCAATAGGCTTACCCCCATGAGACTCGTAACATAAATAGTGAAAAGTGAGTGTTACATTGTACAGTGGCATTAAGTGTCGTAATGTGCACCTCTGCCTACCCATTCGGGGATAAAAAGGCGTGATGTTATGTTATGTAAATGCATAAATGTCGAACATTGGTTTACAAAAACGTTGAGTTATCTTCTCGTTCATACTTAGGTAAATGGGTGTAGACTTTGTATTATCGCCATTAAGAGGTGCCTACTACGTTCTTGACATCCAGCTTTAACATCTGTCTCATTTCTATACCCTTCTTCCTAATACGTGTTATAAAAAGAAAGCATAGTGTTCAACTGTTCTTCTTTCATGTCTACAAATCTTTTATATCGCATGCTAATGAACCCACCACAGAAATATAGATGCACAAAATAATTCCAACGCTCTTCACCAGTCATATTAACACTAAAATGCCAGTGACAGCTAGAACTAGTCTAATAATAAAGCGAATCTAAAATCACGTCAGTCTGTGCTTAATAATAGGACCTGAAACCGCAAAGCCATCACCGCAACGTGTTTATTTTAGAACTCCTACGCTCATTTTCATCAACTTGTCCTAAATTTTAAGGAACTTCTAAACTAAGGTCTTTAAACAACATTTTTGTTGTTCTGACATAAGTAAGAGGTTAGTTTACATGCTCTTTCATGTTAAGTAACTCTTAGTTAAGAGATGGTTTAGAAGTGGTTGGTAAATAAGGCCATATGTCTTCGGAAGGAAAACCAAGGGACATTCTTGAAGGATCAGACAAGTCCTATATCAGACTGAAGTGTATTAAGAGTGTTTTATTGCCAATATACGTCTTAAAGTTAGTTTAAAGTCAAGTGACCGTGAAACATTGCTCTTTTGGTATCACCTAGGACCAAGATTTAGTACAAAATGCAACGACAGACGTAATTTAAAGGGGACATAATACATTGATACGCTGTCTCCTTAAAGTATTTGTTGTCTCGGATGTAAGGTTCTTTATAAAGTCAGTTGTTAAATGAGCTAAGTAATTTTGTATAGAAAAAGGAAGTAAAAATAAGACCTTAGACTAAACGTCTAAACGTAAAATCTTGTCTTATCTTACACTATTATTATGATGCGGAAGTTTCTGCTTGTTTTGAATGCACTAATCTCCGAAACTACTAATCTAATTTAAATAATTCTTTTTGTGTTGGATAGAACATTTATAGAGAAAGGTTTTAAGCTATAAAACATCTCGCTATGACCAATAGGAGCAGAGTAGCGGTTGAAACCGCGTGGGAGTAGCTATTATCCAATACGCAGAAGATTCGTTTTTTATGTCAACGTTTATAAATATTTTCTATACTAAACTGGGCTGCGGAAACGCAGACACAAACAGCAAACTGAGTTCCTGGCATTTTGAGCACAATACAAAGAGCTAAGTAAAGTATTAAGGTGCATTTTTCACTGAAAGGAGTGAAAGAGAGATTTTAATTTAATTTATTTTTGTCTGTAGTATCCTTTTGTCACTATTTGTGTTTCATTGCGACTTCTGTACCTAAATAGAATATAATTGCTTTAACTAATTGGTTTTCGTAGTAAGCTTACCTTTTACGCTAATTTAATTATGTTCCCTTATGTCAAAGCATTGGAATGTTTTGCATATAAAATATGTACCTAATTGTTTTCTAGTTCTTTGTGGAGTGCATTTTATTATACTGATTATTTTCCTGTTGACAGTCACTAACGTGGGATTTTTTAAATTTTGGATGACGAAGAATGAATAAGATACATGTCGTGGTGGCCTGGAGGTTTAAGACACCCGCTTCTCATGCACGGGGTTGCGGGTTCGAAACATATCAACGGCAAGTACCAATGTGACTTTTCCCGAGTTATATGTCCTTTCTAAGACTATTTACACACTTCTGACAAACGGTGAAGGGAAACGTCGTGAGGAAATCTGGGCTTATAATTTCTGATTATTTGTTTGAAATCGCCAACCCGCACTGAGCAAGCGTGGTGATTGCTCAAACCTTCTCCGTGCGAGAAGAGGCCTTTGGTCAGCAGTGGCCACTTACAGGTTGTTGATGTGTGATGTGATGACACTTTCCGATGGTGAAATTTTTTTCTATAGTCTCGAAGCCTATTCAGTGCAAACAAGTAAATCTTACCTTATCATGAAGTTATTATCGTAGATTTCCCATGAATTTTCTAGATGGAAATTGAAGATGAGCTTTAGAATTCTTTGAATTGAAGATTAATCAAGATTATTTTGTATTGCATTGAGTGAGTGAATAGAAAACTGATTGCAAGGTAGATCCAACTGTGAAGCTAGTACGTTAAGGTCGAGACACACTGAATCCTTATGTGCCTCTAACTTAAGACGCGTGAAAAGCGCACGGAAAACAACCCTTGCTGATTTTACGGTGCTCAAACTCAGATTAAATGCACAAATCGTATTACATTGTTTAGTAGGTAGTTTCATATTTGTATTTATTTATGAACAATGTAGTTAATGAATTTGTACACATTTTCAGGAGTTTTAGATATAACTTCATAAACATCATCATCATATGAATTACAATATGCCCACTGCTGAACACAGGCCTCTCCTAGCGACCTATAAACTGCATCTAGCGGCTTTCCGTACCCTGCCGTTCCGTAACTTCCATTCGAAAATTTTTCTACTCCATCCACCATCTGTTCTTCGAGAAATGCACTCCATTTAGAATAATTATAGATAAATAAGTAAAATAGACTTACTCAATACTGTAGAAGCTTGCATCGATAGCTCAGCTGAGAAGGTTCCGCCACAAATTCTATCCGTACACAGAGCTTGAGCTGGTTGAATTCGTCCAACATTCGTTCCACATGGTACCAATAGCCAATCATTGGCGCAGTTGTTGGGGCCAGCTCCTGATCCAATCATGGCGTTCACTGGAGTATTGCTGTTACCACTTAGTGTGAAGGCTCGAGAACGGTTGTTTACTGTAAAGAAAATAGGAGATGAAGATATTAAAGAAGAGAGAAACAAATTAAGTGGTTGAGTTCTTGACTTCGATACATGTACCAACTATTTTTCTTAACAGTATTATTGGTTAACTAGCGGACCCAACAGACGTTGTCCTGCATATCCACTTGAATGTATAAACAAAAATTCATTCAAATTAGTTCAGCTGTTTAGGATAAATAATCTAAACATCGACTGCAGCGCCATCTGCCGGGCTAATTTGTGAATCTAAACCATTCCCAGATCCCCTTGAACACACACAAAAAATTTCATCAAAATCGGTCTGGTCGTTTGAGAGAACTTCAGTGACATTACACACTCACAGAAGAATTATATATTATATATAATTTTTCTTAACAGAATTATTGGTTAATTATTATGAACTGTTTGCGAGAAACTCGAGTAGTTTTAAACCGTGCTAGAGGCTCATATTCATGAACAGCATTCCGCAAGTTCCTCGTTCCTCGTCAAACAGTTGCGTGAAAAAATCGAAAACATAATAATTAATTTAATATGTCTCACAAAAGTTATAGGATTATAGGAATTCTAAAAGGAATTTTCAAAAATGTTCAGTGTGTATTTGTCTTTAGTATCATGTTATTTTTATTACCATGGTTCGAGAAAACCGTCTGATAAATTGTATTGCAAGAAAATTGGATTCCTACTTAACAATTTTCTTGCAATTTTATATCTGTTTGTATCTGGATACCAGGTAATTTTCTACTTCAAATTGATTACAGTTTGTTTGTGCTTCATTTTTATAAGTATCCTATGGGACATTAAAATCATTGAATTACTTTATACTATTCATTGATTATTACTATTCATTTAAATTCACTTTAACTTATTCATCTCAGATTAAGTTGTTATTTTGTTAATTTACTCTTGTCTTTCTGGTTCCTTTTTATGCATGTGGTGTTTACCTTTAAGTGCTTGTAACGCTAAAGTGTGGGAGAGGCATGCTTCGGCACGAATGGGCCGGCTCGACCGGAGTGATACCACGGCCTCACAGAAAACCGACGTGAAGCAACACTTGCGTTGTTTCGTCGTGTGAGTGAGGTTACCGGAGGCTCAATTACCCTCCCCTTCCCCAATCTCCCCAGTCCCTGAATCCCCAACGATCCTCAAACTCCTAATCCCCAAAATGCCGGTAACGCACTTGTAACGCCTCTGGTGTTCCAGGTGTCCATGGGCGACGCCGATTGCTTAACATCAGGTGATCCATGTGCTCGTTTTCCGGCTTATGCCATTAAAAAAAGTATATATTGCATGTAACCTAAATTTTGATCTAGTGTGTACAATAGGTATGGCGACTATTTTTTAATTTTTTGTCCGTCTTTTAGATATTTTAAAAATCTTCGATACGTATTTTTTCTTTTTTCTCGTATCCAAAAAAACATGTAGATATTTTGAGTTAAAATGACGCGTGACGTCACAATTAGGTACGATTTCTCCGTAAGTGTGACGTCAACACCCCCCACTCCCTAACTTTAATGCGGAATAACTACGTATTCTTCTGTTAATTTGATAAAACAAAAAATACGTGTCTGATATTTTCGTGCGATCTTAATGACGGACTAATTACTTTTTTGATTTTTTTACCCTGTCGACACGCCTATTGTTGGTGAACTAATAAATAAATAAATAAATAAAAAGCATTTTATACAGGGTGGCCGGGGGTTGAAGTTCAAATGTTGACTTTGACGTTTAATGATTTTTTTCGTAATTTTCACCTAATATCAGTTTTCGACAATTTTCTCGTTTCTGGTTGGACTAGTGGACGTTTCTGGTTCAGTTGTTTTGTGATAACCAACTATTACAGTCACATAAATTACTGTCTTAATCTTAGGGACAGGAACATTTACATAATTTACGTGTGCTGTGCTCAAATCGTAATTTTGAACTTTCTAACCAATTCTGCAATGCCTAGATAAACCATAAGTTTTAGGGTGTTATGATAGTAGACTATTGCCGGAATACTGAGACGTTACTCAATTTGAATTCGTGCTCAAATATCGTGCCATCTCTGCCATTTTACAAAAAAATTGTTGAGATAGAACTATACTTAAGCACGACTTAAAATTGAGTAGCGTTTCAGTATTCCGACATATGTTCATCGGTTATTACAAAACAACTGAACCAGAAACCAGCCAACAGATTGAGAAATACCGAAAACTGATGTTAGGCAAAAAATACGAAAAAAATCATTAAAAAAGTTATAATTCGAAAACTACGCAAAATCGTAGAACATACACGGGGGTGATTTGGATACTCCTAATCATAAAGTATCCAAATTTTACGTTTGATCGTCAACTCCCACCACCCTGTAAGTATAATTCAAATAATTTCAAAGAAAAATATAACTTTAATGTTTTTTCTACGAACTTGACATAAAATAACACCATTAAAATGTTTCAAAGAAAGTTCTTTAACCGCTGGCTTGTCAAATCGAATTTTTACTTTATTTGCCATATATATAATATATTGGGTTCCAAATACATAAGAACTACTTAAACAAGGCGAATTCAAGTTATGCTGGCTACCTCACTGACTTCATAAATTTTGTACCTATACCTAAGTAACTTGTCGCGGAGAACCTAACGGGTAACCGGGGCTCCGGCTCGACGTGCAGGAGAAGGAACGGGGTGGTTTTTAGTCAGTAATAGTCTGACACTCCCTCCCGCCTCACCCAGGCGGGAGCAGTCATTCGATGATTTTCCCCCTTAAAAAAAATACCTAAGTAACATGTCATGAGCTGTTTCAAATCAATGCACGATAATAATTTGGTTTATTTCAGAAAAAAACGTACAGAAAACTACGTGTCTAATTTTTTAATTTATCGATTTTTATATTTGATTGGCCGACTTTTGACTATTTCGCTGGGTAGTAAGCTATGATGCGGCCTACGATGAAGCACGTCGGCCCATAAGCAACCTATTCTCTCAGGCCTTGAAGACACTCATGTACACAACCTTCAGGAATATTTACGGTTTAAGACATTTTATTTCTCAAAAACAATTTACATTGACTTGACTGAGAAATACAAAATATACATAAGTAGGTACAGAATGCGAACCTGTGCCCGAAACAATATATCCGTCTTTATGAACAACCAAAAAAAAACACATTGGGTACATACTTAAAACATATGTAGTTACACAATAAAATTACTTTGAGTAGCCGAGGGTAATCTTAAAAATATTGGGTCGAGAATATCAAACATTGTGTTTTTACTAATAGGAATTTGCAATAGCAATGGTCTTATTACGTATCGAAGATTCGAAACACATTAGTTGCTTTCACAGATGTACAATAATAATTATGTTATGGACAACTATCAATACCGCGCCACACTTTTTTTATTTATTTACTTTTTTTTGCAGTCATCATAAAATAATAAAACAATAATTAACATTGTATGCATGTATTGTATGTGTGTGTATTTACGCAATGTATGCAAGAGGTTATGGAGTATTGTTTATTTTATTTTTATAGTATAACTATGTACGCATCTTTTGTTAATTAGATATATGGATTTAAATTATGTGGTTTAGTTATAAAGATAAAGATTATTTGCTTGGTAGTTTTAATATATAGTACTTTAACTTCTTTTTGAATAAAGGAAATGACTTTATTTCCTTTATATCATTTGGTAGTTTATTATATAGTTGAGCCCCTTCGTATTTGATGTTCTTACTTCCGTAATTGACAGTGCGTGGTGGTTGCAAGCATATTTTGTTAGCATTTCTCAATAAACGTTGTTGGACTTGTGATTTTTTTGTGAAGGATATGTTTGTGTGTATGGACTTATTTAGTATTTTCCGTATGAGAATGCACATACTGTAAATGTATATTTGGTCTACGGTCATTAGACCAGTTTTTTGAAATACTGTGTTTGTCGATGTAAGATAGGGAAAGCGGAAGAGCAATTTTCCTATTTTATTTTGAGAAATTCGCAAGTGATTTAAGTTTGTTTTAGCAGCCGTACCCCAGAGCTCAATAAGATAGGAGATATATAATATAATATAACCTTCCGGAAACAGACTCCGCAAAGAATTCCACTAGTTGTACACTTTTAGATAGTTTTAGACGCAAAACGTAGCATATTATGAATACGCTCCACATGTAGATATGAAAGCATCTATACATTATATCAAATTCCCATTTAATTTCGATACTCATAGTTACAAATAATAGGAGGAAACGTGCCAACTGCTCAATAACAACGATTAAGAAATATCTGTTCAGTCAATACAATTAATGAAACCTACCGTCATCTGACCACGGACATGGTAATATCGATGGAAGATGGATTAATACTGTTTGTAACTCTTATCGATATTACAATAAACACCAATATTGCGTGATAATTGGTCCATTATATTTTATACACTTTTGCGCTGTTGCTTGCTCGGTGTATGGATATTATTCTGTAATTCATTGATTGCGTTTCGTTTCGTTTTTGGTTGATACACGAGGGATTTGAAATAAAACGCATTCTGTACCATTGCTAGTTTTCTACCTGTGTCAAACTTAAATTTAGTGATTCCTGATAATCGTTAAATTGGTACCAAACGTGATTAGTAACTCTAATTTCTTCTCGATCCGATTAGATCTTCTCCATAGGACCTCGGAATGAGCAAATAGTTTCGCTAGTGGACATATTAACGTCAAAAAGTGCCTTCTGGGCTAAATTGTAATAAATGATTTTGATTTAGACTTAAATACAAATGTTTGTTAATAGACGTATACTAAATGGAATAATTCTAAGATATCATTAATAAGTTTCAGGTCAAACACAATGAATAATTTATAAATTGTTGCTTATTTGATAAAATCTCTTATAGTATATCATCTATTGTTATTTTAATACACACCTAATGATCACAATATGTCTAGTCTGAAAAAGTGTAAATGGCTATTTGATTGTATCATGCCAGTAATCACGAATCCGTCTGAATAGTATCCACAAAGTTGATTAACCATTATCGACCTTATCCACGCACGTGAGGATACAAATTAGTTTGTAAAATATGTTTGTTAACACTCTTAATCTTTCCGCAGATTTTGTAAGACCCAGCTAAGTCAGCGGTAATCGCGCACCTAACAAGTACGGCTACGGCATAGCTCCAACTCAACAATTAACTTGTCATTTAAATACGAACTTTAAATCGTATGTCGTATAACGTACGCTCGGCGACGCGCGACGGCGCGCTTAGAACCTTTTTGTATTGTTTCTAAAGCAAAAAACTCCATGCCGCAGCAGTGCTAGAGCCTTGCTTGAGTCGTGCTTGTTTAGTGTGTGATGATCTTAACAATGATTAGGCAGCAGAGCTCGCTCGTCCAATTCTAACCTTTTAATCTGCGATTGAGCCCGTCTATTAATTAAACAGAAATTTCATACGATTTTTAACATTACGCCTTTTATCCCAGAGGTGCACATTACGGCATTTAATGCCACTGTGTAATTTAAAACCCAATTTCACTATTTTTGTTATTAGTCTCGTGTAATAGGGGGCGCCAGTATATTGTTACCATAATATACTGGGCACAATTCCAGACACCGTGCCAAGCCTGAGATTTTTTAAAATTAAAAAAAGTGTCGTAATTAGGAAAGAACGGGCTGCAATCAAAGGCTACCTATATTAATTACAAAGAATTAAACTTCGAACTAACGAAATATACATCAGAAAATGTTTATTTCATAATCCAATAAGGTTGATATTGTCAAACCCATTACGTGTGAGTGTTTCATCCTTGACCTCGTTTAACTGATAACAAATCAATACTATTATTATTTAATGATTTTTATTGTGTTCCTTTTAGAAACCACAACCAGTCGCGTTAGGTTATATAACAAAGATTAATTGCCTGTTGGGCGCGTTTATTGTTTGATTTTAAGTTTTTCTATAGGTTCATTTAATCACAAATGATCTAAATTGCACCTTATTGTAATAAATAATCGATTCATTTTATTATATACCTATAACGTCCTCCTGAATCACACTAGGATAGTAAAATAATAATGAATATCTACGTCATAATATTAATTGGTACCTATAAAAAAAATATCACATGTGTATAAATTCACGGACATAATACGTTCGGGTAGTTAGAATACTTAAAAACTCATTTATCGTTTTATTGATTTGCTATTTGATACAATTAACAACATAAATCGCTTCCAAGTATTGTGATACCAGCATTTTTTTTAATGGGGTAAATCAGCGAATGGCTGCTTCCACCTGGGTGAAGCGGGAGGGAGTGTCAGACTATTACTGACTAAAAACCACCCCGTTCCTTCTCCTGCACGTCGAGCCAGAGCCCCGGTTACCCGTTAGGTTCTCCGCGACTCCGAATTGGCATCGACCCGGTACACGCGTCCCGCCTCCTCCTTAGCTAGCATAACTGCTTTGCAAAAGGAGGAGACGGCATCCCAGTCCCCTTGCTCCGCATCATGACCCGCACTAGGCCCGGACCACCGTGTTCTCAGGGCGGTCCTCGCAGTGATGACACCCGAACGTTTCCTCTCGCCCCATCAGACACAGACACATCAGACACATCACACACCCCAACATACTTTTTTAAAAGAGTAACGAATGGAGTTTCTTGTTCGTTCTTCTCCATTCGAATCTACGTTTTGGAATGAGCACCTAGCTTCACCTAATTTCACTGACGGACTGACTGACAGACTATTATCTATTTTGTATTTGTTGACGTTTCAAAAGTACCAAACTATGGTTTAATTGAAATAAATGCTTTGACTTTGACTTTGATAGGTACCTCCCGAAACTTCCATGTCCGGTGAGGACCTGCGTCAGGCGGTAGGTGAGGACGCCGTAGCGTCTCTCAAGCCACTCCTTAAAGAGGGGACTTACCGCTGCAATGGCAGCGAGCCCAAGTGATATCAGCATATGAGCAAAACAGCGAATGGCACGTATTTATGAAGTCGAAAGTGGTATCGTAACTTTCGATAAGCTAACTATGGTATGCTATTGAAATTCTCACCTGTGTCTGGGCAAGCGGTGTATTGGATTCCACAGAAATTCCTCTCCATCCTCACGCAGATCCCATAGTCTTGGTTGCTAAGCTGCAGACCAGACACAGGATCGTAGTTAAAGGACCGTAGTTGTCCTGATACTCCTGTGTAGTACTGCAAGCAACCTTCGTCGGCTGTTAAGAAAAAAACAGATTTTATTAGTACTTAAGAATATGTAAGTATGTTTAATACATATGCACTTTCATTAGAGATACTAAATAAATTATTGTGTTTTTCAGTTTGCATTTGCACTCACGTAATAGGGATGATGATAGGGTATGAAAATAAAAATGTAATTAGTCAATCAGTTAGGCAATGAAAACATATTAGACACGTATTTTTTTTATTCTGTTGTATGATAAAATGATATTTAGATATACCGAAACAATTTTTAGGAGTGGGGGCTTTTTTTAAAATCATCCAATGGCTGCTCTCGCCTGGGTGAGGCGGGAGGAAGTGGCAGACTCTTACTGACTAAAAACCACCCCGTTCTTTCTCCTGCACGTCGAGCCGGAGCCCTGGTTACCCGTTAGGTTCTCCGCGCGCGCGAGGAGTGGGGCCTTTTTTTTTAAGGTGGGAAAATCATCGAATGACTGCTCCCGCCTGGGTGAGGCGGGAGGGAGTGTCAGACTCTTACTGACTAAAAACCACCCCGTTCCTTCTCCTGCACGTCGAGCCGGAGCCCCGGTTACCCGTTAGGTTCTCCGCGACTCCGAATCGGCATCGGCCCTATTGGGCCCCATCTGTGGTGGTCTGATGGCTCTTTGAGGCGCGCGCGGAACGCGACGCGCCGTACGCTCGGGTCTGTTTCTGGTCGGACGGGGAGCCACCCATGCTCGCCGTCCGCAGGCCCGCGCTTACGGTGGCCGGAGATCGTCCCGCGATCCCCGACGCCCGGTGTGTCCTTCGCGATGGCTGGGTTGCGAGGAGGCAGCGCTTGGCTGCCTCACGCGTCCCGCCTCCTCCTTAGCTAGCATGACTGATTCGCAAAAGGAGGAGACGGCATCCCAGCCCCCTCGCTCCGCATCATGGCCTGCACTAAGCCCGGACGCGAGAGGTCGCCATCGCCGATCACTTCCCTGAGGGCACGGCGGGCCTACGCAGGGCATTCTCCCACCGTGTGTTCCACCGTGTCCTCAGGGCGGTCCTCGCAGTGATGACACCCGGGCGTTTCCTCCCGCCCCATCAGACACAGGTACCTTCCGAAACTTTCATGTCCGGTGAGGACCTGCGTCAGGCGGTAGGTGAAGACGCCGTAGCGTCTCTCAAGCCACTCCTCAAAGAGGGGACTTACCGCTGCAACGGCAGCGAGCCCAGAGGTGTGGGGGCTAAAACGTCATTACTACGTATAAAATGTACATAAAATTGACGTCCCACGACATTTCAAATCAATATAAACTATTCCGTAAAAAAATAAAAAATACTTGTCTAATGTTTTTAAATAATCTACCAGACGGACGCTGACGAGGAACTCGACTAGTTTCAAGCTATACCTTTTTTTGAGTGAGAAATCATTGTAAACAATTACGAATGAGTAAACAATTACGTGAGAAGGCCGAAAAACATTATGTTGATGTATTATAGAATATTTTTACTCGTATTTTAAAATATTCACAAGTATATTGGTGATTACATTACGCTACTAATGTATCAGCTTATTATGTATTTCAGCTTAATCATGTAACTGTTTGACGAGGACTTCGACTAGTCTAAGTGTGGGAGAGCCATGCTTTGGCATGAATGAGCCGGCTCGACCGGAGTGATACCACGGCCTCACAGAAGACCGACGTGTTTCGTTGTGTGAGTGAGATTACCGAAGGCCCAATTACTGCCCCTCCCCTTCCTCCAATCCCTGAATCCCGAACAATCCTCAAATTCTTAATCCCAAACGGCCGGTAACGCACTTGTAACGCCTCTGGTGTTCCTGGTGTTCATGGGCGACGCCAATTGCTTACCATCAGGTGAGCTTTTACCGTCACCTTACGTTTACCGGCTTATCTCATAAAAAAAAGTAGTTACAAGCCATTGTAAAGGTTCATAATCATGAGTATATCTACCAGTTTCAAGGTTGGTCATCTAACATTTACGTGAGTAAGCTGAAATACATAATTATTTATTTTATCCTGAGAATTAAAAAACTAGTATGGTAACCGAATTCCAAGAGGCATTCATCAAACTTTATTTATCAAGCCTGAACTAATATTTAGTTTTCATGCATGCAATTGAACGATGGACTAAATGGACATTTCGTTCATCGTTTAATAATAATATTGTTTTTAACGAACTGTGAACGTATTTTTCAAACTGATAGCTGAAGTTGTAAATGAAATTGTGTTTATTTATTTGACGGAATATTTTACAATCTCTATTTTTTCAAATCTGTGATTGAAAATTTTTTTTCCGTCTCCTTAACTCGTCGAGTACCGGTTTTGTAGACACAATTATAGAACAATAGGTTGCGGTCACCGGTGACCGCTTGGTGTTTGACAGTTTAACTAAATATTGGTGTTACATTGTTCTCATATAAATGAACTCAACGAAAGGATGTAACCAAAAATTGTATTGTGAACCTGATTGAAAAAGAGTAACCTATGAAGATTTGCTCGTTCTTCTCCATAGGAAACTACACTTTGGAACGAGCAAATAGCTTCACTAGAGGACTGACCTATAGACTGAAATTTTTTTTTATTATTTTATATTTAAATATTTTGTTTTGATGTTCAAAAGTGCCTTCCTGGTCTAATTGAAATAAATGATTTTGACTTTGACTTTGATTTCCGGGTCAGGCAAAGTATTAATGTGTTTTTTTTTAAAAATCTCAGTAGTAGCACGGAGTCTGGAAATGTGCCCACTACATGGCAATAGGCTTAGCCCCTATTACACGGGACTTATAACATAAATAGTGAAAACTGGGTGTTACATTGCACAGTGGCTTTAATGCCACCTAAACACGTAAATGTGTACCTTTGCCTACCTCTTCGGGGATAAATGGCGTGATGATGATGTTGCTTTTTCAAAACCTGAGTTATAAGAGCTAGGAATGATTTTACTAACTTACCCTAATATTACGACTTAGATACAGGACGAATTCATCTTTTATTAATTAGTAGAAGCTGATTGTAGTATTTATTTATTTGTTGGGTTAACTTTTTCATCCGTAGTTTATGTACCGTTGCAATTCAATCTTCCGAATAACCGCCATCTTTGACTGCCATTCTTTGATGTTTACTTATACGTATTAATATAGGTATCTGTTATGCTATCATACTAAAGAGCGATCTTCTGCGAGCGGTTCCACCCATCAAAAGTCCAAGGTAAAAAGTACGCGTATATCGCTCTCCAATCTATCAGCTATGTCTTATATAAAATTTTCCATTATGACATAAAAGGTGTCTTCCTTTTATGTCATAATGGATAACACATTTGAATTCATAGTATGGGTAATAATGTAAATACGAAAATCGTTACAGCTAGTCAAAAACTATGAAAAATAAATACGTTAAAGTGAATTCCAACAAGAATATGGTAATCATCTTTTAACGTTCGTGACAGGTAAATAGCAGTCGCTCTTACTAAACTGACATTCAACTAAATATGGTTAGAACTCGCTCCCACTGTAACGTAGTTAGAAGAGGATAGTAATAAAAAAGATATTATATAACATGACATCGTACTTTACATTCAACATTTAAAATTAAATATAGTTTCGTAAGAATCGCCCGTCTCTGAATCATCTTCAAGTCATAAACAAGGAAACTTTAGTACTTGCATTTTTCCTGACTAAAGTTGTGAAAGATCGAATGGCGAAGCGTGTTTATAAGTTCTAAGTCTAACTAGGGGGAGACCAGGGCTGGTTGGTCTCAAGGGTAGTTAGTAAGTATTGGTAAGTATTCAGCAGGTGATGTGGCGATTGCCATAAATATTTGGATTCTGTTGCTGTTTAGGGAACTGAGTGTGATGTCCAAAACCAACGTACGTTGGTCTATCCATGATTTATTACGCGTAAACTTTACTTGTATGATGTAAGATTTGTGACGCCACCAATTATTTTAATCGTCAATCGACTGAAATGATTGAAGCGACGTATATTTTTATAGTACTAAATGAAGTTACTGTCAAAAATCGATCAGAATTCACAGATTTTGAATTGTGTGCCAGACCTCTGAAGGACCTAACCCGGTCGTGTGTTTCTTACACTTATTCAAAGTATTGACAGAAGCTTGTATAGACAAAACTTTAAACAAGCGATGTTTGCTACTCACATGCCGATCGCACGTTTGAAGTGGAAAACTATTCGGTTTACGTTGTGACTAAGATTCGTGATATCTTGTCAGAACTATGCATGCATTATAACGTAACTTCCCTTCAGTTATGTGCGGGGCACAACACATTGGTAGGATTTTAGAACTAAAGTTTGTAACAAGTATGAATGCTGTAATACTTAGTTGAATATTTGTGCTATAATACGAGAAAATTCTGTGGGAGAAGCTCATAACTGCAAAGGACGTACTTTGTTTCGAGAAAGGAAGAGGAACTGTTATATAAGTTATTAAAACCCAACATATAAAATAAAACCGCTGACACTGCATCCCCGTCGTACCTTACATTACACGTTCTATTTCATTTATGACAATGACACACTTTGGCCCTTTTGGCGGAGACACTGAGGTTTTTGTAATTTTGATATTTTCTTATTGTACTACTAGACATTCTAATAAAAAATCGGGTTCCGCGCGCCTCAAAGACCCATCAGACCACCACAGATGGGACCCAATAGGGCTGATGCCGATACGGAGCCGCAGAAAACTTAACGGGTTATCGGGGCTCCCCGGCTCGAAGTGTAGGAGTAGGAACTGGGTGGTTTTTAGTCAGTAAAAGTCTGACACTTCCTCCCGCCTCACCCAAGCGGGAGAAGTATGTAACTCGATGATTATCCCCCCTTAAAAAAAAAGCATTCTAAAAAATATGTTTTTAAAGTGAGTAAGACTTTACCCGATAGCAGAACCTTACCTGCGTCTAAAATTTAACCATACGACTTTTACCAATTACAAGAAAACTTCGAAACTAGAAGTTAATAGATGCTGAATTGAATTTTGCTTCGAAGTAAGTTCCAATACAACTGCAGATTTATCCACATAAACAAGCCAGTGAAATAAAAGATGAACGAAAGAACTTTCGAACAAAATGAAGGATTTCCATGCAATGTTCACAAGTTCGAGAAGTTGTGTGGAAGTGAAATGGATTACATCTAAATCTGTCTGGATTCTTATCTATTAGGAGTTTAGAAGACTAGACTCATCTCATTTGGGTATACGCCATTTCACAGTCTTGCCTTGTGGTTAGGAAAACAGGAAAAGTATGTTATTATAATGGATTACCATGCTGTTCGGCGTGTTTTAGGGTGAACGCAGTAAATTTGATTAGTTCTAAATGAACATTTTAGTTGTTATACAGAAGACAATAATTCTGTTATTAATTTTAATTGGTGAAAACATTAGTTATTTAAATAATGTGTTTTAATTACTTACCTTTGTATATGGTGCTGCAGGGTATCTGAGTCACTTTGACCTTCCAAAGTCTCTCGAACGTTGGTCCACTAGTAACAAATGTCAGCTTCACTGGATTTGTCATCCCAATCCCAGCATCTATATACACTAAAAAGAAAAAACAAAATTGAAAAAATAAACTTACAATTTAAAAACATTAAGTTTTAATCTAATAGAACTTCAGGGAGTACCGTGAAAGGAAATGGCGAAGGTAGGCGAGCTTGCAGCCAGACTCTGCCAGCGGAAACTTTGGAATATTTTTCTGTTTATTTTTATTTATTTTCTACGGGATTCCCTCTTAAGCAGAAACTTACCGGAGGAAATATGAGTACCTGAGTTACCACAAATTGAATGAAGAAGATTTTTTGCACGCCATAGTTTGCGTTTGTTTACTATCAATAAAATATCGAACTGGCAGAGACTAGATACTCACAACCACGAAACACCCAGAAAATGGAATTAGCGCAGTCTCATTAGCGGTACACCATCCAGTAGCTTAGTTTAATTAAGATGCAAAACGTATGATGCTACAACCTGAATACCAGAATTATAAACCCACGTTGCTTCATTTGAAATTGATACTTATTCAGGGAGCCTTAACTGCATCATTATGTACTGAATATAATAACTGAGCTGCTTGTGCAGCAATTCGTGGAACGTCAACATGGTTTCGTCAAAGGTTCACATTGAATGGAACATTGCCTTTGCATGTAGTTTCATCGCATTATTGCCTTTCCAGATTCCGTAATGTTATGTTTGTCTGAGATAGAACCTTGGTGAGACACCGAAGACGTTTGCATTATATTATGTTTCATAGAAAACACGTCATGGAAGTTGTGTTTTAAATGAAAAGTTACTCCGTATGGACGGAAAATGTTTCACAATGTTCCGCTTTTGCTTTGTCACTTTCATGTTAACTTCTCTAAAATTTTCTGAAGAAGTAAAACCGAAGTAGCGCTAAAGGATTAAGTTCATTGCTCAGTGTGAGAACTTCTGTATACAGATTCACGAACTTTAAGGCATAGTACTTGACGGTTGAAGTTACTAAATAGATGGGATGGGACCATGAGTTTTTATTTTTTGCTATGACGTATTGGGGTCCAGCCATACCAGGAAGTGCCGTGCCGATTTAATTACCAAAGTCAAATCATTTATGTCAACATAACATGGCACACCGCCTTTTATCCCCGAAGGAGTAGGCAGAGATGCACATTATCTACTACACTTAATGTCACTATACAATGTTACACTCACTTTTCACTATTTATGTTATGAGTCCCATGTAATAGGAGGTCAGCCTATTGGAATTATGCCTTTATTTCAATTAACCCTAAATTAGGCACTTTTGAAATGTCAAAATTGAATTGCCCGTCAGTCTATTACTTAGAAAACCTTATAGATTCCAATAATAAAATAAGATAATATTTATCTAAGTGGTATGGTATAGATATATGATATGGTATGGATCGGTAGACGATTTTCCACCATTACGAAATCTCGCAGTCTAATTACAGATTGCATTGTATTTATTCTCTAACTCGATGCTACTCAACCAAACCATAACCTGTATTGTATATCATCAGACATTCTGTATTCCTAACCAAAGCTTGAATCATAATTGGAACATCTTCACCTTTGAACAATAGACCCTATTTACATAAGCCAAAGTGCATCTATTTCGAATGTTTTACGTCATCGCTGTCGGCGGAATACCAAATCTGTGGCTGAATATAGGCTCAAAACCTTCTAACTACAAGACATTTCCGACAACTGAAGCGAGCGAGGTTGGCATATTTATTAAGGTTGTTGCATTAATATTATTCTACTGAATAAAATAGCGGGTAAATCCTAACCCTAATTAGTTTTACTTTAATTAAATTCATAGACAAAGGAATATTTGCAGAAATGCACGTATGGAATGAAAACATGGAATTGTTATTATTTTGTGGTTTTGTTATAGTAAAGTCATGCAATAGGAGTTGGTTAGCAGATGTTCATATTTTGTATTATTTTAATGTTAACATTTCAAAATCAAAACAAAGCGGTAAAGTTACCGTATGAATGCGTACCGATTCCTTGTTTTTAGTTGTCTGTCTGTACATTTGTTTTCTAAAATTAGGTGTATTGTAATATGTATAAAATCAGCACAAGAACTTATAAATGTTTTACAGTATCCAGAGTTACAAAAATGTGATTAGATTAATCAACTGTAAAACAATTTAGGCGAAAACTTGAACTTACGCGTTAATGTTTATTATTTACGTACTGTGACTTCCCTGGTTATTTCCGCAGATGGCCGGAACTGGGTTGCCTCCTGACACAATGAATTGATCTTGGTTGCAAACGTTATGCATTTGTTCTGGACCAGCGATTGAAAACCGGTTGAAATCCAACCTGGTAACAAAGGACATTTATTTAGATACATTCATACTAATTACTAAAAAAAATCACAATGGAATGCAGTTTTCTGTAATAATTCGGGTATGTCGTACCCTAAAACTGATTCAACTGCGATCCCCGAAGCCGCTTGTGAAGTACGAAGATAATGAAAAACATCAAGTCTTTGTTCTTGTTCAGCAGTAGACGAATTCTAGTTGATAATGACATAAATAAAATATGGTAGGTATATGTTCCACGTACTCGCATGAAGCGTTTCGTTTCGAGTTTCTTTGTGCAAACCGCAAAGAAGCGGAAAATGCTTATGGAAAATCGGACCTTTTACTTCTACAATAAGCAATCTCAAGTCTTCGTGTAAAGTTATTACAGTTCACCATTATGTAAGTTAAAGTATTGTATGTATTTTTTTTATAGAAATTCTATTGCACATAAAAAGTTATATTTAGCATTCAATTAACTTAATATTAAATTAGAATTAGACTAGTGGAATGCATTTGTGTCAGCTTGGAGTTGTCATGCGGTGGCACGTGCGTTGTATCGATTGTTTCCCTAAAATATGGTTGAGTTAGGTGCTGGTGTACGTGTCATGTTCGTAAACTGGCACCGTCAAATGGGACTGGTCGGCTCCAGGTTGTATTATATATTGTCCGTGGGTTTTTTTCTTTTCTTATCTGGATTTTGGTGTTACATTGTTCTCACATAAGCGAACCAACAAAACTATGTAACTAGAGAATTGTATTGTAAATCTGATTGACAAAGAGTAACCTATGGAGTTTCTTGCTCGTACTTCTTCATAGGATTCTTCTTGGAATGAGCGAATAATAGCTTCATTTTTATTTTTTTTATTGACGTTCAGGAAAGCACTTTGTCTACCTTGGGGCTTTCTCTTGAATCCAATTTCGATCGACATTGGTATTGTGACATTTCATACTCTTGAGTTGCTACAATAGCGCCCATTGCATCCGTGTCGCGTGGATATTCAATGAACTAAATGATATTAAGTTTGGCTTCATATTCTGTACAGTGCCTTTAGCCAAATGCCACTTCAGCGCTTGTCTACAGAGAGAGTAGAAATTAAAATGTATGGGGATGACACTGACAAGTGTCAAAATTTACGTCAATTCTATATAGTTTGGTTTTCTATTCTACATGTAGACAAGCGCTAAATGGCATTTGGCTACAGCTGCAGGGGTTGTACAGTTTTGACATTCACTATTTGTTAAGATTTTATTGGATTGAAATTGCATAAACATTGAGATTGGTGTCAAGAGTTAGTACCCTGGTCTGATTGAATTAAATGATTTTGACTTTTGAAATTGTCCTACCGCTGGTTAAACAAATATGCAAAGAGGCTCATATTCAAGTGCAGCATTACGCGAGAGTCGCCGCGTCGCGGGTCGCACATGTATGCATCTAGCATGGCTTGAAACTAGTCGAGATTCTCGTCAAATAATTACGTGGGTACGCCAACAAACATAATAATTAATTTAGTAGGTCTCACGAAAGTTATAACTTAAATGAAAGGTATTGTTCATACGACTAACGAGGGCTGGATATTTTTAACTTACTTAAACTGTAAGTCAACAGTTTTCTTTGACTGTACTTCAGTGGTAAAAAAATACAAACATAATAATCTTAGAAATGTAAAAGTATTCAGGGAACTTGGTATTATAAGTAAGTTTGAAGCCAATGCAATTATCTTTTTACGTCAAGTAGAAGGTTCTCGAACGTCCCACATTGCTTCGAAACTAGGTCGGCTCCGATCAGTACCTGGAAAATTCTATTTCTAGAATATTATTTTTACAATGTTGTGGATCTTGTAACTGCAATATTCTTTGTTGTGTATTGTAGGTATTCATCATCTATAGGTACAATAATAATAACTGCGACTTTTGTATAAATATACTCTCAAAACCTAACCTATTTGTACATGTAATTTATTATGTTCGGAGTTTTTGGATAACATCTCTTCTTCTGTTTTAAGAATTAGTTTGTATTTTTTTTTCAGTGATGGTGAGTGTTTGTTTCAATCCAAAAATGTTAACTGTGGTCCTAGTTGTTTATTAATTCGTGTTAATAATTGGAAAAATATCTTGATTTGGCTCACGAGGTTGTCGACGTGCGGAATGTGGATTCGGATATCATTGTGCCGATAGTCGTATCGGCCAATAGGTTAACAGCCTCGACTACCTTAGGAGGCTGGAATTAAGCGGTTGGGTCAAGGGTTTGATACAGAAGACAGTTCTCTTTAAAACGGAGGGCATCGTGAAGAGATTTCTGTCTCTGGAGCCCTAACCACCGATAGTTTGAATCATGCTCCCACTACTGGTCGGCTCCTATTTGTAAATTTTAAATATTTTTTTAGTATTAAAAATGTGTATTAAGAGAATTTTAAATAAATATATGACAAAAATATAAAATAGTAACAACAAAACCAAGTGTAGACACTGGCAATATTGCAATAATGCTGTTTCAATACATCACGAGTACTTTGCGTGCACCTTAAGATCTAATATTCTTGGAGAATATAAAGTTAATATGAATTTGTATAAATAGACTTCAAGTATATTATACAACTAGCGACCCGCCCCGGCTTCGCACGGGTGCAATATGCATTTATTATACATACAAACCTTCCTTAAGAATCACTCTATCTATTAAAAAAACCGCATCAAAATCCGTTGCGTAGTTTTAAAAATCTAAGCATACATACGGACATACAGCGAAAGCGACTTTGTTTTATACTATGTATGTATTGAAGAGAACAGTACTGAAGTTAAGTTGCGATATTATAATATTTATTTATTTATTCATTAAAGGTATCCCTACAGTTTCTGTATACAGAGTATATTTTTATCGACGTTTACGTCTGAGTGCTGTTTTATTCTCTCGCGTCTCAATACAGAATATACTTCTGCAAAGAACTGAAATGTAAATAAAAAAATGTGTTAAATTTCTTTTACCAATGGGTTGCACAAATTGTAATGAGCATACATTTTCAGTAACAATCGCGTTTACGTCATCGCAGCTATAGTTTCAAAGGGCTTTATGATAAACAATGGTGTACTCACCACTCATGTGACATTTTATACAGAAATATTTCATCCTTCAATTGTACTTCTGCTCCGCAACCTAATTAGGTTGCGGACATTTTCAGGGCGAATATCAAATTGTTTTTCAATATCCAACTTAGGGTTTACTTTTCATAGACGGCCATATTGAAAACCCTTAAAGCAGAAATCACAACAGAAAAAAATGAAATACCTCAATGTCGGTAGTTTGTGAAGCTTTAATGAACAACGAACACGCCTACGAGCTTTGCTACAAAGGCTTCGTAGCACGATATTTGTAGGCTACGAATATTTCGTAGCACGGTTCTACGTGAAAATTTCGTAGGCTTCACTTAATTGAACTTTTGCAACGTATAAAGTGCACACTGATGAAATGTGTCGTCATATGGAAATGATATTGAGAATTAAAGTCTCCTCCATGCGGCAGAAAGCGACATTTTGGAGTGCTTATTGTAATTGTTGTTATGATTATAGTTAGTGCTTACGTGTACGTCTGTTCAAATAGCAGATATTTTAGGTTTAATATATTATTGAAATATACAGATTCATTCATGTATATAGCAACGTATTCGATTATGACCCAGTGTTTTTAAAGATCAAACCACCCCGTTCCTTCTCCTGCACGTCGAGCCGGAGCACCGGTAACCCGTTAGGTTCTCAGCCCGGAGGTATAGGACGCCCGTACCTTACGCATGTTCAAAACATAGGTGTGTGAAAGTGCGGGTTCGAAATCTACCAACGGTAAGTCCTGGTGATTGGAGGTGATTTTATTCGAATTATAAATACTTTCTAACATTATTTAGACACCACTGACAAATGGTGAAGGAAAACATCGTGAGGAAACCTGGGCTTATATTTTTTTTTTATATATTTGATGGGGCGACGTTTGACTACTATCTCGCCTGGTGGTAAGCGATGATGCGGTCTACGATGGAGCACGTCGTCCCATAAGCAATTTCTAATTATAAGTTTGAAATCACAAACCCGCATTGAGCAAGCGTGGTGATTAATGCTCAAACCTTTTCCGTAAGAGAAGACGATTTGCTCAGGAGTAGACATTCATTGATGTATGTATGTACTTCAAATTTATCAGTCGGTTTCATTAATATTTTTGACTGACAATTTTGTGCTCCCTTTAACAGGCAATAGCATAATTAACATTAACAGGGCATATAATACAGGCAATAGATTTAACCGTTGACCCATATTTCAAGCATCCTTTATAACAAAAAAAAAGAAATTCAAATCTAGAACTAACCTTCGTGTTGTGTAATACAACAAGACTTCGTATCGTCGGTAATCTTTTCACTTCTCTTTAATGGATAGAAAGCTTCTTAGTATCTTATAGAGCACGTTTCTAATACAAAGTACTTTTATCCATTTTTTCTTGAAAGTCTGTTAATAGTTTTAACATAGAAGATTTCTTTATAACTATCCTTGTACTACACAATATAAGGGCTCTTACACAAAATCGAAATGCGACGCCCCTCAAACAACGACTGCAAAAATGTGCGAGCTCCTTCTACGCATCGCAAGAACTTGCGAATTGATTCGCATCGCTCAATAAAATATTATCTTCTTAAAATCTTTTTTGTTTCTTTTCCTGTATCTCCTACTTAAGCAATAACAGAAGTGCACACTTCTTTTACGATACATACCACGATCTAGTTTTCAATTTAAAATACAATTAGTACGATTGACGTTATTATAGGGCTATGCTCGAAGTGTCTTTAAAGGATCGGATCCGAAACGAAGGGATCCTACAGAGAACCAAAGTTACGGACAAAGCCCAAATGATTAGTAAGCTGAAGTGGCAGTGAGCCGGTCACATTTATCGAAAAACTGATAACTATTGGGGTAAACGTGTTCTAGAGTGGAAACCGCGTCTAGGCAAACGTAGTGTAGGGCGCCCTCCAGATAAGTGGAGTGACGACATTGCAAGGTGGCTGGCAGTGGTTAGATGAGATGAGCTGAAGATCGAGCTCAGTGGCGTGCCTTTGGACAGGCCTAAGTCCAGCAGTGGATGAACACAAGCCGATGATGAAGATTTAATTTTATGAGACCCCTAAGCTAAGATGGGTTAACGACAATTTGGTTTTCAGCAACCTTAAAGTAACACGTAAAGGTTAGTTTAGGATTTTTCGCACGTCAAGTAACTTGGTTAATTTATTGGTTATATTTAGGGTTGGCTGGTGAGAACGGTCACACAGTACTTCTAAGAACAGTGGTCCTTAAAAAGAATGGTATTCACATTATTACATTAATTAAGTCATTTTGCAAACAGAAATTTTAAGTCATGAGGAAAAATATTTTCTTTGAAGACTGGACGCCTTTTGTAATATGATGGAAATTAAAATACTTTGTAAGGCTGCTAATGTAATATTATAAAATGAAAAAAAAATAATTTAATATCAGTCTAGTGAAGTTATTACTGAAAAATGTTTGATACATTTTTGTGATGTACTGTGCAATAAGAGTACTATTCTAAGAGGGCAACACACATTTGTATATTTTATTATATGATCTTTTGATTAAAGCAATCATACTTTGTTTTAAACAGTTTAATTGTGGTAGGTATTATTATAGTAATTTGGGTTTGTTATTTATCATTTATAAAATTATTTCGATATATCAATCGAACAATGTGCTGTTAGCACAATGACTGGGCAACCAACCATAGCAGGTTCGATGCCCACACATAGCAACTCTTTGTGTAATCACACTGTCATCCACAGACTGTGGTTTCGTGTCGAGGTGGCATGTGTATGTATGTTTGTGTGACATGGGAGAAAATACGTGTATGACATCGTTTATGAAATAATTTATAATGTAACAGCTGTTTATATAGGTATACTTATTATTCTTTTCTTAATATTTATATTAACTTACCTAATTTGACAAACATCAGGGTGTGATTTGATTACAGTAAGTTCACAGGATCCTGTGCCATCGTATACAGATGGATATCCCGAGTTCACGAAGTAAGTACCATTTTCAGACGTAGAACTCCCACATGAAGTCATAACTGGAAATAATAAATATTGTGTTTCATTACTTAGGTAATTCTTTTAAAAACTACGTTTAAAAACCGACTTCAATCTTTTTTTTATGTCGGTTAACTATTGTACTACAAACACTTTTCTAAAAACCACATTGAAATCGGTTCAGTCTATCGTGAGATAATCGCGCACAAATATCCATACAAACAGGTCAAACAGAGAACTCTTTTCTTGAAGTCGGTTAAAATAGGAATCAATTTTGCTAGATATCATGAACTGGATAAATTACCTTACGTTATTCAATTGCAAATGTTGTGGTGGCCCGGAGTTTATGACGCCCGCTTCTCATGCTAGAGGGTACGGGTTCGAAACCAACCAACGGCAAGTACCAATGTGACTTTTCCGAGTTATATGTACTATCTGAGATTATTCAGACAACACTGATAAATGGTGGAGGAAAACATCGTCAGGAAACCTGGGCTTATAATTTCTAATTATAAGTTTATAATCGCCAACCCGTATTGAGCGAGCGTGGTGATTAATGCTCAAACCTTCTCCGTGTGAGAAGAGGCTTTGCTCAGCAGTGGGCATTTATAGGCTGTTGTTGATGATGATGACAATGATTCAATTGCTATCTGTTAACCCTTAGAGTGCCACGTCAGCCAGCGGTGATTGATGCTCGTAGAGGTTTGACTTTCACCAATTTAAACTTGGCATTTAGTGTTAAATTATTGACATTTTATAAGCTCTTGTACTTTAAAAGTATTATATTTTTTGCATTGCATTACCGTCCAAAAATTTACTTTAGAGAAATGAAATAACTGACAAAATATTGTTATACCTACATTATAGTTACTCCACTTTTAATCCTCTATTATCTAATTCGTATATTCAATGACTATGACAACGAAGCTACGCCTCTTTGTTTCAGTTCCAGAAGAAGACACGCCCACAAAATTGAGGACACACCCACTTTTGAATTATTGCTCAAGCCGAGGAGATTATACCTCTTTGATATGCAAACGCGCGTTGCTTCTGTTACTAGCAATTGCGCTTACGAAAGCCGTTAGTATTCAGGAGGTCCATTTTATAGAATTTGATGTTGTTTTAAATTTCTGTTGTATTTTTTAAGAATTCTTTATACTACAAAGACGTAAATTAAACTTATTTTTAATTCTTTGAATAACATATCATATTAGATGACATTTGCGTAAAAATATGAGGATTATGTAGAACATCATAATGTATGTAAATTATTGAAGTGTGGGAAACCATGCTTCAGCACGAATGAGCCAGCTCGACTGAAGTGATACCACGGCTTCATAGAAAACCGATGTGAAACCACGCTTGCGTTATGTTTGTCATGTGAGTGTGTTCCCCAATCTCCCCAATTCCTGAATCTTCAACAGTCCTCAAACTCCCATAAGGCTGGTAAAGCACTTGCAATGCATCTGGTGTTCCGAGTGTCCATGGGCGGTGCCGATTGCTTATCATCAGGTGATCCGTCTGCTCGTTTACCGGCTCATCCCATAAAAAAATAAAAATAGTAATATTTTATGTTTAAAACATACTTACATATACAACAGAGTCCAAATCCGTTTGCGCAGTAGCCGTTAGCTGAGCCACCTCTTGCGGTGCACTCCCTAGCAGTCATACAAGTCCCGTTGTCTCCTGATGCTCCCGCACAACCGCCGTTCGGGAACGTCACCACGGTGAATAGTGACAGAACTGTGTGAAAGAAATCATAGTTTTATTGTGATAAAAATAATCGATGAAATAGTACCCGAAGGCCGCTCAAGAAGGTTAGTAACTAAGGACTAAGCAGCTTTATCAAGGACCATCGTTTGATGGTCTTTGACACCGCCTACTGCACAGTTCGCTAGAGGCAACTGATGGCCCTGAATCTCTTAGTAAAGACACAGTAAGCTATAGACAGTTTTTTTTTTTGTAAATTGTGTGTCTTAAGGTTGACGGCGAATTTGCCGTCGTAGATGAAGAGGTCTGCAGCTAAAAGAGCTATAGTTAGGTTTAAGTTCGTGTCGAAACACTTAGTAAGTACCTGAAAAGAGCTGTCGTCGAAAGTGACGCATATGAAAGGTTTTATCGGCGAAATGTCCATAGAAAGAAAGAAAGAATAATAGTTTATTTGCACACAGTCACAAAGTACAATAACACACACAAAAAAAATTAAAAGTGTTGGAATCGGTTTCCCTGCTGGTCAAAGCGGCTCCATTATTGCTTTTGTTATAAAATATTGTCTTTCGCGAACATATTTTTTCATTTCCACTACTATAAATTCTTAATTCAAATTAGAGGTAGTGTTCATGTATGTTTTGAATATTTCATCCTTTTTAATCATTATCTCTTTAGTATGAAGCCACGAAACTCTCTCCATCTACCGTTTTTTTCGATTGATTAAATTATTTTTTAACACAAAAAATCTCCGTTTGCCATCTTGTGCACACGCATTGCATTGGTTTTTTACACTTTTTCATAACTTGAATATAATCCGGTGTATAGAGCGTCTGTTTAAGTTTTCAGGCACATTCTATCGTTCTAAAATCTGTATCATTTGGGAGGAAGCTATGTCCTGATTCTAAGTATTTCATATTTATCTCGTCTATAGATGGGTGTTCTTCAACATAGCTTTCAGCATTAATATCAATTTTATTTTGCAATTCTAACCACATGAATCATTCCATAAAATCATACATCAAGCCTTCCGACGTATTTATTAGTTTTGCCGACGATTGCATTGTTTTGACAAACATATCTACCTCTATACAAACTGATACACCATCTAGAAAATTTTGGCGAGAATAAGACTTTTTCTTTGAAATTTTGGTTTTATTTATCAGTTGCAACATAGTAATAACGATTCAAAGGCTGTTTATTTATTAAAGTAGTTTAAAACATACTTTGAGTATTATTTTCGCTGCTCCTTTTTTCGGCATTTTCGCCCCTCCTTGGCGACCCTCCTCGCCTCCCTTGCCATTCCCTGCCACTGACAGGGGAACCCGAAGTTCCTGTAGGCTCTAAAGCTGGGGTAGTAGTAGACGACCTAGTCACGGCGACCTTGCACGCACAAACTGTTGGCGCCCTCATCAACGGTTCAACTCGAGCCTGCGCTGGCAAAGCCGGTTGGGCTCAAGCGCCGCGACTGGATCGACCAAAAGTGGTCGGCATAGCAACCACAGCCGCAAATGTGCGTGGGGCTGCTTGACCCTGCGAGTGGGGGGCGGAGCATCCTGCTCTCCTGTCCTCTAGCTGGGGGTGCGCTCATGACTGACACTACTCCTCAGCCATGCATACCCTCGGCGCGTACCAGAACATGGTATTGCAGGAATTTTTAATAGAGGTTATCGCGCCTCGCACCTTTCTGTCCGGGCGACCAAGCCACGTCCCATTCTGAGTCATGAAACATGACCATGATCACTTTCCGGATTACGATTTCAACGGTCGAGGACACACAGGTCCCGATGCTGCTCGTTGGCAGGGTGAGTGCACAACGAGAACCGCCCTTGCCTCTCCACCATGTTTTCTGCTAAGTTCAGAGAGACAGGCGGAAAAGTCACCCCTTGAAAGCGTAGGCTATGTGACTACACAAAGCCCGCCGCCTCCATAACCCATCCCGGGTTCTTTCGCCCCATCCAGAAGTCAGCTACAGGCAATAGCCACTGAAATCCTAACACCCCTGTTAGAGAGACTATCACCTGTTCCCAGGGTGCACCACGGGGAGGTCTTTTGGCACCGCACCCCACCTGAAGAAACCTGGATTGGACTGCTTGGTCTGGAGTTTTCATTTTAATAAGTACGGTTCAATATTAGCAAGGGCTTAGTCCGCAGTACTAATTCCGAAATTATGGGACAATCGTACCGATCAGATATAGCATTCCGAATGCCGTGACGACGTCCACGGATGGCACCATCGCTGCCAGCGTCACCAAATATGGCAACCCAGTGGTCCGATTTGAAAACCATAATATTATGAACAATACTAATGTGCCTCTCAAATAATGCAAAAGCGCCTTGAATATTTAGTTGGTTTAAATCTACACAAATTCACCTTTGCTCTTGTAAAAAGATCAGGAACTTTAAAGAGGCGACTGCCACTAGTGCCACTGCACAACCCACCGTATGCAACGCAGCTCACATTCATTAATCGCAATGCTTCATAAATCATAACTGGCTGAATTATTTTACAGATTTTTAAATATGATACGGGTTAACATAAATGCACAGCACACAACCATTACCACTACAAACTCAACAACGTCATCGCGAACGCAGCTAATTAAAACCTCAGCTGCTTCATTTCATTTCCTAATTCCCTAAAGAGATATTAGATACTAATTAGTATTGAAGAGCATCGATATCCAGCTTAGCTTACAATCGTCTCGAACACGATATTAATTGGCTTTCCACAATGGTAAAGACAAACTAAAATGTAGATGTCTGCATTGACTTAGTACTAAGTTTCCTCATCCATTTTGCCAGGTAACTGTGTAAGCTTCTTCGCTTAGCGAACCAGAGTGAGGATTAACTTTAGTCGGGTTGATTCAGAAGAGATCTGTTACAGGGCACTGAGCAGGCATGCTCAGTGTTCAGTTTTATGTGAAACGTGTGAATTATTTGAGATAGGTATAGATTAGGCTACTTATAATAATTGGGTACTTTTCTTAATCAAAACTAAATTATTTTGACTGTTCAGTACAATAAACTAGTAAACCTTTACCTTTATTAATTGATTTTATATTCAATTTAATTTTAGTATATTCCCAGCTTTTAATAATTAAGTATGCTGTTTGGCGCTAAAAAAACCTTAATCGTCGTAATCGTAAATTATTATTTTCCCTGGATGTCTAATTTATAGTATACTAGCAGCCCGTCCCGGCTTCGCACGGGGTAGACAATTATATATTATATTTTTGGAAATTTGGATTGTTGTAGTGATATAACTACAATAGATGGACATATGCTACCGCGGTGTTTTTTTGTAGACATTATGATGTTATTCAATATTGTTGTACATTATTTTATTCTATCGCTAATAGTTTCGGCAGCGCATTCGACGGAAGACATTTTAAGACTCATTTTTCTACACCTTCGGTTACATTGTTCAAATTTTACCAAGAATCCCTAATTTTTTTCAAAATGAAATGTAGCTTATGTCAAATTGAAAGAATGTAGCATTGTATTGGTAAAAGATTTTTTTAAATCGGCCCAGTACTTTTTGAGCCTATTCATTACAAACATACAAACATACAAAAGTAGGTACAAATCTTTCCTCTTTATAATATTAGTGTAGATGTTGATGTAGAAGTGTAGATTAGTGCGCATGTAAATATATTATCTGAAGTGCAACATGATGTCACAATACAAAATCTCGTATAAAATTCACAGAAAATTGTCGTTTTTGACAGTTCAAAAAGTATTGAATTTGACTGGTTGGCAAGTATTCAATTTATTTGTTCTTTGATTTTCACATGTTTAAGGGTATGTTCTCCATGTTGTTTGTGTTTGTTTTGTTAGTTTGTTTAAATTATATGTACTTTTTTCGACCTGTCTAAAACTACAGTTTTCTATAAATTTTGTACGAGATAGTGTATTGTGACGTCATGTTTTTTTAGCGTCAAACAGCGTACTTATTCCTTAAAAATTTGCTGGAAATTACGAAAAATATGATGGCCATAAAATTAATTAATGAAAATGTGATTATTTTTTAATGTTTCATTGTATTGCACAATCGAAATAATTGATTAGTATCTACCCAATTGTACATATCTGATATTTAGTTCTAAATAACGTTAGATGTTTGTATTTTCTTTTGCTTCATCATTTGCAAGTTGGTATTAAGTTCTGTTAAACAATTGATGTTTATTATTTAGTGATGAAAGCTGAACGGCACTATTGGACTAGATAACTTGAAAAAAATATACATACATAACATCACGTCTTTTACTCCCGAAGAGATAGGCAGAGGTGCACATTACGGCATTAAATGCCACTGTACAAATGTACACCCACTTACTTTTTACTATTTATCTTATGAGTCCCATGTAATAGGGGGTGAGCCTATAGCCATATACTGGGCAAAATTTCCAGACTCCGTGCTACTACTGAGATTTAAAAAAAAAGCTAGTAATACTTTGCCCGACCCGGGAATCGAACCCAAGACCCTTTGCCCGGCAGTCACACTTGCACCAATAAGGCAGAAATAAATATATTGTATGTTAATAATATCCTGTTTATGTAGGCAAACGTGGAGATTAATTTACACAAACACATGCTACAATATATGTATAAATTATGTTGTTTACTTTATTCCCTGTAATTCTAGAACATGACTTTGCAAAATTCAATGGTAGACGCGGCAAGGCAATCAATAGTCGTATGGTTTTGGCAGCTCATGCCATGCGCTAATTGACTAGTCAACAAAGATAATAGCGAAGTACCTACGTAGTGCGGCACATAGGTATGTGCATATAGGTATACAGGTACGTAGGTACGTTGTTCAGATTACGTTGTGTGTGCATCCTGCACTCGCATGGTCGAAACATTCTAGTAACAATACTCGTCTAAATAACGTACCTACTACTCATAATTGATATTATTATGAACTGGGATTTTGATTAACGGCTGTTTTCCTACCGAATAACCGATATTTTTAAATGTTGGCATACATTGGGATGTCCCTGTTGAGTGCGTTTACGAACATACAAAAAGTTGTATAACACAACACACGATACCCGAAACAACATTTTGGGAATGTTGGGAATCGAACCGCCAACGGTGCAATCAAAATTATGTAGTACTAGCTTCTGCCGGCGGCTTCACCCGCGTTTGCGTGGAATAAATAGATTGCAGGGTCCCAGAGCCTAATCTATCCCTGTTCCTTTCATCCTCATATTTTGACGTGATGGAGTAAAAGTACTTACACACAAACAAAAATTTACAACCCTTCATATCGCTGTAAAATAACATTTATACTTAATACTCAAGTAATTATTAAACTGTACGTGTTAGGAACAGTTTACGAAAAAATATAATTTGACGTCAATGAATTACTGTATCGAAATCGTCGAAGCTGTGCCTAGTCATAATTTCCGTGTAACGAAACCATAGCGCGATCTAACTCGATCCCAACACCATCTAGTTACGACGTGGACAACTCCGCTCCACGGGCGAGGCCGATCGATAGAAAGTGAAACATTTGTATAAGTAGATTCTAAAAACCCAAGAAAACACTTCGAACAGTGGATACAGGAATATTTTTGTTTTATTCTTTTATCTTATTTTTGTTGCACTGCCATCTAGCGGTTATTTTGTAAAATACTTCATTAGTTATCGATTAACGCCAACAAAACTAACAGCCGAGTACCTAAGGATGCGTACAGATACGGCGAATGCACGCGTGCAGCTGTGGCTAGGTGCACGCGAGCTGTGAATTCTTGGCGTATTTGCCATAATTATGTGGACGCACCCTAATTTACAAATAAAGTTAAGTTGAACTCGTTGAGTATCGTCATTATAGACACAATTAAAGAACAATAGGTTGCGGTCACCGGTGACCGCTCGGTGTTTGACAGTTATTAGATAATAGGTAAATATTAAAATATGTTGTGAGACTGAGGGCCACGCTATCGTATTGGATTATTAATATCGGTAAAGGTAGTTGTTAGCATTCAATAAATAAAGTAAAACAAATAAAGATGAAAACTCGTTTTTCTACTGTCTGAGGTAGGAAGTTTTACACATTAAATTAAATAACATTCTAAGAAATTACCAAGACGACATACTTGTCAACCCAAACTTCATTTGCAAAATAAAATTCAGTGCTACTTGCCCTATTTTCCAAAGAGATCTTTATATCTATTAGTTAAAATTTGATCAGTTTTATTTGTTGGTACTAGGTATCATTTTTCAAGGTGGAACGTCGTCGACGCGCGCCGTACGCTTGGGTCTAAAAGGTAAAGGTTCCCCTTTTGTTCTTCGCAGCATTAGTACTAGGGATTCCTTTGGATTTGAAATTTTCTATTGCAGCTCAGACAGGCTTACATAATATAATAATTGGTATAAAGTTGTAGCATATTTTGTGAAAGTCAAAGCGAATATTTTCTTTAAGACCATATTATAATTTTTGCATAGGTATACACAGTGAAATAATCTAGTTACTGTACCAAACGCAAATGTAAGTTTCAAATATAATATAAGTTTGTCGAATGTTAGGTTGCCCACTGCGGACGCTGTAACTTATTTTTTAACCTTCAAGCGGGCGCGCGGTCTTTTGTAACGGGAGCGGGCGCGCGTAACCGAATAGACCTATGGGATGAATAAGACCAAGAAAGCAATAATTATGGGATAATCATTTATTAATTTGTACTAAGATACAATATCATTGTCTTTAAAGAGAAATTTGTCACAACAAGT